GGGCACGATGCTCCCAAACTGCCTCCCCTCCCCGACTCTGGACTAAACTCACTGCCTCAGTTAGGGGTTTGAGAAGAAAGCAATGTGCAGAGGAAGGGTGGGTGTTTGCATGGCTTTGCAAAGGATGTTGCTAATCCAAACCCAGAATCTGCAAAGATTTCAAGACATATGTTCAGTTTCTGCTAAGGGTGGGAGTTTCATCTATTTCGAAATAATAGGGTTTTTCCCACAACTTCATTTTCTTTTCTTTTTTTCTGTGGGGTGGGGGGAAGAGAAAGGGATTGGTAAATAATTAAAAATAGATCTTCTAATTCACTGGGTCTTTCAAAGTCAGGCAACAGTGTACACTGAAACAGAACAAATGCTATTTGGGTAAATTCTAGTATATTTTTAAAATCGACCTCATCGTTACTAAATGTTTGCTTATTATCTGTCAGTTCACATGCTACGCTCTATTACTGTTATTCTAGTCAGCTCCAATGACATTATACAGAGTTTTCAAATATTTTTGATGGTACTTTTTTTAACACGAACTCTTTCAAGATACATAAAATCCCATCTTATAGACAACAGAATAACTAACACTCAGGATCCCAAAATGCTAAAATCCTACTGCTATCCTTGATGATTCCATTCATTTACACACTCTATTGAATGCCTACTATGTATCAAGTTTTGTGGTGGAGGCTATGAACAGAGCGGTCAACCCGACAGAGAACAGATGGTCCCTGTCCCTGATGAACTTACAGGCCGGTGGCGAGACAGTATTCAACAAATAATTATGCAAATAATTACCTAACGGCAACTTGTGATAAGCGCTTGGAAGGAAATGTAGTGTGCTACCAGGACACATCAGAAAGCCCACGGCAAGTTGCCGTCTTACCCCTGAAAGAGGCTATTTCTTTCTTAAAACCAGGAGCACATCAAAATCCCTCTTCCACTCGTCTGACAGCATCACATTCAGAGGCAGCTGGAGGTGGAGGGTATACAAAGCAGCATTTTCTTCTCCTTACTTGAAATAAGAACTCAGGAATGCAAAACTATCCTGGAAAATGACTTCATCCTTCTGGAACCGATACTGGTCTCTTCTCCTTTCCTTTCAATGCTGGGAGGAGGGGAGTAGTTACAAAGATTTATGTACCAACAAGCCTGATGTGTAATGGTGGAAAATTCGGAAGAACCTAAATGTACATCACGAGGGGAGTGCCTGGTTGAACTATGATGGGAACATTCCACGCTATGGAAGATCTGTCTGCCTATTAAAAAACAGTGAGGTGGGCTTCCCTGGTGGCGCAGTGGTTGAGAGTCCACCTGCCGATGCAGGGGACACGGGTTCGTGCCCCGGTCCGGGAAGATCCCACATGCTGCGGAGCGGCTGGGCCCGTGAGCCATGGCCGCTGAGCCTGCGGGTCCGGAGCCTGTGCTCCGCAAAGGGAGAGGCCACAACAGTGAGAGGCCCGCGTACCGCAAAAACAACAACAACAACAAAAAACAGTGAGGTGACACCTCTGTACTGACACAGAAGGCTTTCCGCACCTTTCCACACAGTATGCTTTCCATACTAAGCAGGAAAATGCAAACCACTAAGATGTGACGCAGTTTGGTTAAAAAAATGTGTATACGTTATATGAATGCAGAGAAAGGGGATTTTACGTCTCTCCAAAGTGTCCACGGTGTTCACCTCTACACATAGTAAAGGCGGTTTATGAATCCTTTACCATGAGAAGGTATTTAGGTACTATCTGTACAATAATACCAAAAAAAAAAAATTATCAAAGAAAAACATGTATGTATCAGTAGCCTCTCTGGATAGCAGGCATCTTTCTGGAAAGGGACCAGGAGGCTCCCTTGGTGCTTTGGCTTTAAATGTGAGCTGAGGATGTGTTTTGGGACCTTTGCCCTGAGACCCTAAGTATTAGCCCATTCTTATAGATACCCCTGAAAAGAAGAATCAGCTTTGCCACCTGGTACATGCTAAAGGGCAGCCTGAACACATTTCCAAAGATGTGCCTACAGCAGCCATGACAGAGCAGATGACTTAAGCCACCTGGCTGCTGACTCAGTTGGAGGAAACACGATGGGAGCCGGGAACTAACAGCATTGGAAGCAGCTGCAGCTCTCTCTGTCCCCTGGCTCACTGGGGCTGGCCCAGCGCCTGCCCTGTAATGACAGCAGCAGAGCAGAGCTAACCCTAAGGGACCAAGTCCCTCTGTCCAGAACTACAGTTGCCTGCTGGGAGGGCAGCAGGGAGAGAAGGCTCCCTGGGCGGACCAGACACCCTTCCCCAGGGGTCCAGTGGCTGCCCCTGCTGCTCATCTGGTCCAGCCACACTGGCACTGGGCATGAAGCATCCTGGTGGGAGATAGGAGCTCTGCTCTCCCAGCATCTCCTAAGACACCAGGCTAGGGCACCAGAGAGTCAAAGCAGTCCCTGAGGGAGGACATCTCGGTCCCACGTCCTGAGTAGCCCTAAGCCAAGGGTACTGCAGACCCATCAAAAGATCCCAAGAACAAGAATCCCATTCAGAGTCTGGTCTGTTGAAAAGTAGCACACTTAGGGAATTAGTTTCTTCAACAATTTAGATAAATACTCCTAGAAATTCAGAGTTTGAAGGCCATGTAGCCTAATTATGCTTGTATTCTACACAGAGTTGTCACTCAGCTATTTCCTAAACTAACTCACTAACTCTCTCTCGATATAGATACAGATATAGATATACCTCCAGGTGAAAGGAGCTGCACCTCTAGAGGCATCTGGGGACAGGTGTGGTAGAAATGAAGGTCCTTCTGTGGCACAGAACTCTGACCCCCTGCACCTACCATATGGCGACATTCATGTGTTCTATGGAGCCATATGGAATGACACTCATCCACCTTCCACTGAACCTTTCAACATTTCAAGCACAGATTCTTCCTTGCCATAAAAATACTGCGAAAGGAAATTACTGCAAAAGGAAATTTGAGGTCCTTGCAATACAACCTATGCTTATAAGTCAAGTGGGGCAACTGAACGGGGTTCATCATGAACAGTAACCAGCCCTCCCTCCTGGCATCAGATGGCACCCTCCTCCAGGGTCCATGTCTCCCTGACTCCTGGGTCCTCAGTGCCCAGCACTGGGTCCAGCCCACAGCTGGTACTCAAGAATCATTTGCTGAAGGGAAAGATTATCTCCAGGACCCATATGCTACTTGGTGGTTTTCCTTCCAACAGGAAGCCTCAACTCCCGGCCATCTGGAAGGCGGAGGGAAAGCCCTGACTATCTATGCCTGCCCAATGACAAGGAAAACTGAAAACTACCTTCCAAAATGAATTTGGCGGCTTCCTGCCAAGTTGAACAACTTGGTGGTGTGGAGCACACAATCAAGCTCACTGTAACCTTTCTCTAACCAACTCTTCCCTCAACTTCACCATTTCCATCAATATTCTCCAGTCACCCAGGCCTGCAGCCTTTCTGATATCTCTGATCAGTCTCGGCCCTTTGTGGCCGATGAAAAGCTAGGGGCCCAAGAGTGGATTATTACTCCTTGATCTTGGAAATCTCCCATCCTTTCTAGTCTTGGCGCCCACCCTCGCACAAGACCTCAACTGATGCCTCATCTTTAGGACATCCTCCCTAGCTCCAACTCCCCTCCTTCACAGACCCTACATGTACCCTCAGGCTATTACTTATTAAGGGCTGTTTTCAACCAGTCCAGCCTCTGCTCAAATAATAACTTTGCACTTTTTATTTATTTATTTATTTATTTTGCAGTACGTGGGCCTCTCACTGTTGTGGCCTCTCCCGTTGCGGAGCACAGGCTCCGGACGCGCAGGCTCAGCAGCCATGGCTCACGGGCCCAGCTGCTCCGCAGCATGTGGGATCTTCCCAGACCGGGGCACGAACCCGTGTCCCCTGCATCGGCAGGCGGACTCTCAACCACTGCGCCACCAGGGAAGCCCAACTTTGCACTTTTTAAACCATCAAGTCTGTACTCCTCTGTTCTCACTAGTCCAGGCCCTTATTCACTCTCATATTCCAGGAACCCTGACTAATCCTCCTGCCTCAGTTAGGGCACTCCTCGCTGTTTCTCTCGTTCCAGGAACACGTACCATCCTCTGACATCCCAAAATCTTGGCAAAGGTCTCACCTCTGCTTATCCAAATCCCACCCACGGGCAGGGGCTCAGGGCCAGCCCAATCTTTCACATAAGCTTTCCCCATTGTCCAGCCCCACCGGCCTCCTTCCCCACAGATCTGTGTCTAGCCTCATACACGGCCTTCCTCTTGACTCATAAACACTCTCTTCTGCACTCAAAGTCAGAAGAGATGATGAGGAAGACCAGCTGCTTATTAGCCACGTGATCCTGACCAAACCACCAGACTCTCAGAATCTCACAGAACTGTTATTAGGATAAGGGAGAATTTACAAGAAGGGGACTCGTTCATCTCACACTCAAAATAAGGCCGTCCAGGTAGAGGATTTGGGTATCCCTTCTAATATTAACTGGCCAAGAGCAGTTATTTCCCATCATTCACAACCCTGCAGAGCTAAAGTCTCAGTACACATCAACTAAATGTAAGATAAGGGAGAAAGCACTTTTCATGGGCTACTTTTCTTCACGTCCTCCGATTAGCCACTCGGGAGATTCTCTGATACAAATTTTGGGTGACCGCAGAAATGTGTGGGAGGGAAAAGAGAGGCAAATCTGGTGACAACGGCGCCGGTCTTAAGAGTGGGCCTTGAACACTAAGCCAGAGCCGGGATCAGTGGGCAGCAGGGAACAGAAATGGGTAGCAGGGATGCGAGAAGGGTCCACAGCAGTGGGGGGCGGGAGAGGGAGCACGCGAACAAAGAATGCTTCGGCTCATCAACTCGGGCTACCTTCCTTCCCAACGTTCACGCCCATGACAACGGCGGGTACCGCCAGGGACGCGCGGTAAAATCACTTCTCGCCAGAGACCCGGGCACCGCTGATAACGCCTGCCCAGCCCGCCCCGGTGCCGCTGTCCCCGGGCCTTACCAATCGAGATTTCCTGTGCGAAGGCCAGCGAGATGAGCAGCAGCGGCAACCCCACGGCGATGCACGTGACCATCTTGTCCACGGCCAGCTCCAGCCGCAGCCCCTTGAACTTGGGCTCCGAGGGCTCCTTCAGCAAAAAGTCTGAGAAGACGTACTCGGTGGCCAGGTGAGCAATGGCCATGGCTGCGGCGCACAGGGCTGGGCCAGGAAGGCTCGCAAGGGCAGGCCCGGGTACCGCCGGCGTCGGGAGGGCGGCGCGGCGCCTTCACCCGGTCACAGACCGGGCCCGCGGCTTTCGCTTTCCCTTTGCCGGCTCCCCGTTTGCTTCCACATCCCACGGGTCTTTGTGTCTCGAGGCGCCGCAGTTGTCTTCTCTGGGGGCCTGGCCTGGCGGGTTCCGGGACTGCTTCGGGCGCACGGGATCGCGCCTGCTCCTCCGCCGCGGGCCTGGGGCAGAGCCGCACCCGCAGGTCCCCGGGATGCGCGCGCCCGAGGGCGCGAGACTCAACCGCGGAACAAAGCGCTAGCCTCGCCGCGGCTCTGCCGCTGCGCCCTGGCGACTTGGAGTTTCCGGAAGCTGAGGCGACGCGGGGCGGGTGGGCGCGGCAGCATCCCGCGACCCTGGGATCCACCCCCAGCAAAGGGAGGTTCCCGGCGATCGGTACCTCGTCAAATGCTCGCGCCTCTCCCAACCTCATTCTCTCCACTTCCTGGCACCCGGGATTTTTGAAATCATTTCTGAAAGCGACCTGTTACCCTGTGGACAGGATGGCCCCCTTTTACGCCTCACCCCCAACATTTCTACGTGGCAGAATCAGGTTGAAAGGAGGTGCGAACGCTTCGAAGAGCAACAGGGCCCTGAGAGGCTATCGAGCGGGTTAGACCAAGCCGGTGCGGAAGAGGGAACGCGGGACTCTCCCAGAAGCACTGCGGGGACTGGGAGGTGCGGGATCGGTGGTGGTGAGCCCTGCGTCTGACTAGGTCTCAGGTGTCTGTGCTTAGCCTCCAGCTTTCCCCGTGGGAGCCTCGGTCTGGGAGCCAGCAGTGGGTGTCTGCGGGAAGCAGGTGTTGGGGGAGAGCTACTTCTGAACCGCTTTCAGGTAGTGGATGCTGACAAAGCAGCAAGAAG